TTTCTTTCTTTCTTTCTTTCTTTTTGGTTTGTTCTCACTTGTTAAAAAGAAAAAACCCCAACTTTCTCATGTGTGACACGCGCAGTCGGTGACGCGGATGCGAATGGCCTCCTCTGCGCCTTTCATTCGTCGCCTCCCCCGCCCTCTCTCCGTGCGCCTGTGTGAATACGGCTGATAAAGCCAGTCTCTCCTCTTTCCTTCAGGATTCGGCAGATCCCACCGCTACCTGCTCTCGTCTTCCCGGGTGGGGGGCCGCACCCGCACGCACACGCGGCTCCCTCACACCCGCCCTTCCCCACTCCTACGTTCGCTCCCGCTCCACTACAACGAGGCCTCGTCGGGCAGCACACCCTCACGGAATGCCTCCTTCAGACGCTGCGCTAACTCCGGCGCGAGGTCGTTGCCGTAGTGCGAGAGCAGCGCCTGCAGCTGTCGTCCCTCCTCCGCGGTGATGGGCCGCACGCGTTTGCCGGTCTTCGGGTCCACAAGGTCGTCCTTCTGCTCCATCACGACTGCCAGCATGTCGTTCGCCTGCGCAAAGATGGTCTGTAGAGACTTCTTGGGCACATATATCTTGAGCGTGACGACCACGTCGAGGATGCTGAGGATGACGGGCAGTGCGGGGTACTCCACCTCATCGAGTCGGCAGCCCACCTGCTCGCCCATCGCGCGGAGCTTCTGCCGCGTTGGTTCCGCGTTCATGGCGTTGCGGCCGCCGTCGCTCACCTTGGCATAGCACGTCCGGATGCTAATCATTGCCGCGTTCGCCATGTGGTGCGTAAGCTGATCAGCGGTGCAAATGCGCTCCACGAGACGCTCGCACACCTCGAGCCGCATCAGGCGCCACTTGCGCAGCACGTGCGACAGGGTCGCGCACTCGTGAGGCGTGAAGTCCCCAACGTGATTCGTCGCGCGCACCGCCAGCGGCTCCAGGCTGAACGGCGTGAGGTCGTGCACGGTGTAGCACTGCAGAATGCCCAGCAGCGACGGCAGGTCGAAGTCGTTCGCCAGCACGCCGACGCGGCGCGATAGGGCGAGCAGGATTTTGCGGCGGACGTCCAGCGTCTCCTTCGCACACCCGCGGCGCGTCTTAAAGAGCCGCGTGGAGAAGGCCTTAATGGATGACATGTCGATGTTTTCGTAGTTGCTGTACTTCAGCATCGCCTTCTCCATGCGGTTCCACAGGTGGCGATTGTAGAAGTTTGACGACACAACGTGGGTGGAAATGTACAGAACATCATCTGCTGACAGAACGCCATCGTTGTCGCGTCTCAGCACCTCCACCGTGAGCATGCGCATGGCGGCAGTGTACATGGGCTCCTCCAGCCAGTCCCGCTCCTTCAGCGAGGTTGTGTAGTAAAGCGTGCGCCGCAGCTCGTGCATACCGGCCTGCTGCAGCAGCGGCGTCTTCTGCATCTGCTGCACCAATGCCGTCATCTCCGTTGTCGCGGATGTCTTTAACTCATCAACGAACTCCTCCATGCCCTCCTGCGTGAGGATCTCCGCACTCGCCCCCAGCGCGGTCTGCGCTTTCAGCTGCAGCGCCAACTCATCTGCCTTGGCGACGCATTCCGACAGCACGTCGCAGTGCCCTGTTATTGCGGTTGTGGGGGCCACAAGTGCGCCGCCAGGCCCAGAGCCCGGTGTGTAGGTGACGGGCAGCGCTCCGTCCGCTGCTGCTGTTGCCGCTGCTGCCAGCGCCGTGTCTGGCTGCTGCTGCACACTAACGGAGGGCCCCATCGACGCCATCCACCGCCTCGCCCCGCAGAGCGCCGCGCACGTGGAAGAGGAGGAGGAGGAAGAGATGGCGGTGCCCACAAGAACGCAACGCTGGTAACAAGCATGCGTGGAACGTATGGATTGGTGGAATGAAGATGGTGCTCTGCGGCACAGCAACCGTGGAGTTCGCACCGCGGAATGCCCCGCAACCAAACGACGCTGCATCCTAAGGTATATATAATGTGCGTGTATGTATGTGGAGCGGGGCCACTGCTGCTTTACACGTGCTCAGTAGGGGGGGGGGTGTGAAATGGTAGAGCGAGAGATCGAGAAAGGAAGAGAGACGCGAGTACACACAGACCTGATGATTCGAGTGGGGCAAAGGAGGCGGACGTGTGCACGAATTCTCACCCAGCCCACGCGTATTCCTCTACGCCGCGTTGCCCAGTCAGTGTCACATGGTATAAAGTTGGACACAGCCAGCGGCATCCCCCCCCACACACACACACACTCTCTCTCTTTCCCTCTCTGTTGCGTTTTATTTTCGCGTATCCCATCCGGTTTCTTCGGGCATTGGTTGCGCTCTACGGTGGACGTGGCGGCGCATCCAACGCATGGGATGAGCAATCACCTGTGGACCGAGAGTTTGTCTCTCGTGTGGGCTCGTCTGCTTTCCACACAATTTACATAAGATGCAGCACGTGTTGGGTCGTGCTTGCGCGTCAAATAACTATAGCAGAACTACTCGTTGAATCATGCCATGGTGGCAATAGTAGTAGTAGTAGAAGTAGTAATAGTAATAAGTGAGGAATATCGCTCCAGTACGACAGAGAGGGAAAACGTTAATAGTTCCTCGATTGTGTTTTCCAATTACACCCTTCAGCAGAGTTGCTCACGAAGAAACAAGAATGCCCGGCCGGCCCGACGCCGTGAGACGGCGCCGCCGTTCTCCTCCGGACACTGTTTCTGTTTTTCTTCATGCTGCTGCTGCTGCTGCTCCTCCTCCTCTTCATTCTGCTTCAAGCCCAGCACCGCGCCAGTGACGCTAGGGGTGAACGGAGCGGCCGCAACGGAATCCCCCTTCACCACAGCTGCTGATTCTGCTTCCGCTAGCGCTGGTGATGGTGGTGTGGCTTCATGTGACGCGTCCGCCGCCGCCGAATCCACACGGTTCTTAGCAGCGCTTTCACTTGGCACCATCGTCACCCCCGCTACAGGTGGTGTCGTGCCCCCTCTAGCTGCTGATGCCTCGTTTGACGTGAGGGGTACAGAGCGGCCGTACGCCAGCGCCGTCTCAAGCCGATCAGAGGAACTCGGCAAGTTCGGTGACAGCGGTGTGGTACCCGTCCCCGCCCCCGCACCGCATTTCACGGGAACGGGTGTTGCTCCCCTTCCACTCTCCAGCTGTGTGCTCTCCTCGATCGTGACGGTGACGGTGGACAGCAGCGGTTGGTCGGTGCTCTGCCGCTGGCGGCTCTTGATGCCGAGGTGGTCGACGAGCCAGTCGTGGTACGCGTCCTCCAGCTTCCCCAGCCAGTGCGCCGCACGGAACTCGGGTGCGCTGGCGTTGCTATCTCCACCGCTGCGTTCCTCTGCCGCACGCACCACGAGGAGCTGCTGCACGAGTCGTTGGTGCAGCCCACGTGCCTCCTGATAGCTCTGCACACCCTCAAAGCAGCGCCGAAAATACATTTCAGTCAGCGACATCGGCAGCGCGTCAGCCACAGACGCCTCTTCACTATCACCCCCACTCGTGTTTTCATTCTTATTTCCATCAGGATTATCGTCAAGTGGTGCGGTGCTCACCTGGCTAGCGTTGCTGCTCTCTTCGTGGTCACATTGTGCGTTATTGAGCGACTGCACTGGTTTGGCCGACGCGGTATCAGGGGCGGGCGGCGGAAGCCCAATCACGTTGTGCGTCGAACCTACTTTATCCTCCTGCCGCGCCCCCTGACTGTGTGGGGAGGCGACGCCGCTGTTGCTGTTGCTGTTGCTTCGGCTGCGGCTGTCTTTCCCCTGCCAGAGATTGTACAGGCTCACGTACGACAAGCGACGGCCGCCGCCCGCGTGG